TCGGCATGGGGAGTGCAGCTTGCAACAGATTGCTTGGCAAGGTCCAGTTGGTGCAGCAGAACCGGAATTAGCTACCGTGAGTTTGAGCTCCCAGTAGTAAGCCACAATTATTTTTCATTTACGGTGCCTAAGCCCTGAGTCAGTAAATGGCGGAAATGTGCTGTGATCACATGCTGGTGATGTTTCACAAAATCAAGCCATGAAGCTGGACAGGCCGTGTCAGATTTTTCAAGATTTTACTGAAATACTGGGAATATTTCCTCAGAATTTATGCGTTTTCCCCTTCGTCCCCTCCGTTTACTCTCTCAGGGCCATGAGGTTTGTTCCTCTAGTTCTTTCTCCCGCTTCAAAACATAATGATAAACCAACCCAACTTTTGACAAACACCAAGGGGAAAAATCCTTTTTTTTTTAACCATCTCTAGTTGGCGTGAGGGAACTGGTTTCACAGATAACGTAATCTAAGAGGAGGATTACATTTTGCTGAATAGGAAAGGCAGGAAATAAAAAGAGACGATACCTTCAAGAGTCAGCAGGCAAAACCGAAATAGGCTTAGCTTTACTGCCAGTGCATAATTAAAGTTTTCTTTCTTTCTAGAAGCATTTTAGTAAATTCATGACATGACCTAATGTCTGTACTTCTCAGCTTTTGGTGTTGGATAAACACATGACTTCATCCAAAGTGGCAATTGGGTAATAATTGGGCAGGATTGGTTTGTTTCATGCCACTAGAGATGCTCAGCATCTTGTTTGAATTTTGAGTGTTTGGGAGGCAGCAGTGAGCAGCACGGTCGGCAATAACCTCCTTTAAGCACACAAATTGCACCAGTGTGCTGGTGCGGAGAGCTGTGGTCCGTGTGCGTTGTGTCCTCCAAAGCTGGGAGGCAGTCCTGCTGCAGAAGCGATGGGGAGCTGTGGGACCGGCTTGCACTTGGCCCCTCAGGGCAAAGCCCGTGGAGGCGGTGGGGGCGCATTCCCCCTTTTGTCAGCCTCGTCACCGAGGCTCTCTGGAAACAGCGGGAAACAGGAGCCCTGGCAGCTGCAAAACCCCCCGCCCTGCGAAAGCCTCGGAGGAGATGGGGCAGGGGAGCTTACTGCAGCCGTGGGTCCTCCAGTCTCTAGCCGTGGGGACAAAGAAAGCACCCTTCCTTTCTGAGAGCCGTCTATGAAATGAGTCCCCCTGTCCTCAGGCACATTCCTTCTGATGCGGCCATCAGTGTGACACAGTTAAGCATTTCCAGTATGGCCTTTCCCAATTGCATTTCCCTTTTAACTCCATTGTCTGATTTACTCCAGATAGTCATTACTCAGCATGCTGCTTCAGTTTTGCTTTCCGTTGTAGGATTGTGTGTACATCTCTGAGGATATACTTTTTTTTATTGTATTGTATTCTCTGCTTAGGCTTTTTGTCCTGAGATGATTTTTCTTCTTGTTTTAATAAAAAATAAATAAATCAGGAATGCTTATGTGAAAGGCTTGATGGTCCTTTTGATCTGACACTTCACATATGGGCACATAATTATTTATTAAAGACTTCTTTACGTCCCTTTCCATTTAAGCTATGAAAGAGAATATTAAAATTAGTAAATACATATTCATGCAAACACTGTGGGCCAAAGTCTCCTCTCAGACAGACCTGACTGACTGCAGCAGGGAAGGAGAATGCGACCCGTAAGTCATAGCACTGTTGACACATGCTTTTCAATATCTGTTCCGTCTTTATGAATGTTGTTTTTAAAGATTCGTTGGAGATACTCAGATCCGGGAACCTTGCTTGTTTTTTCAGATCCGCCTCACCTCTTTCCAGCATTCCATCCTCCTGTACCAATTGATGCAAGACATCATGAGGGACGCTACCATTACGAACCATCTCCCATTCCTCCTCTGCATGTGTGAGTATTCAGTATTTCCCCTTGCTTCAGCTGCCTGGGAGAATGGGCAAGTATATGAACCTTTGCAGTGCTTAAAGCCACGCACCTGGAGCGCTTTGCCAGTCTTGCCGGAGAGTGAGATTTACTTTTGGGAAGCGTCGAGGTTATCTGTTCGTGAAGCTAAACCCTCAGGCTGGTGCCTGAGGAATTCCTGTTATAATAGGTGGCTGGCAAGTGTTAACCTATATGTTTTGCTGACATTTATTCTGTGTGCTGTCGTTCTATAAATACTAAATTAAAAAGTGCTGAACCCTGTGAAACTCAGCCAGACAAAACATGTATTTTGTCTGTATTAGGCTTGGGATTCTTCATAGCTGAAATTTCCTCTCATGCTAAAGGTTTTTTTTTTTTTTCCAGTGACTGCTATGAAGCGTAATGAAATTTTTGGTAAATTTTCATAGTCTCTGTTGTGTGCATGCACAGGCAATTGGTTGATTGATGGGAATGTCACCCAAACAAAATGGCAAATGTGATAGAGCACATGGTTTACACAAAGATAAAAGAAATGAATACCAGTGATAACGTGCATTTAGAAAAGGGTGGTAGTGGTGAAATCCTGCAGAAATAAATATTATCTTATTCTATATGGGGAGACGGATATCAGCATTGCAGAGTAAAACAGTTGTTGTGTCCAGAAAACTGCTATATACCATTAAAAATTGAGCCGAAAAGCAGGGCTTGGTACTTCGCTAAAAGGCTTGATATATACATTTAATCATATCTACTAATCACCTCTCATACTGAGAAAATACAAGAAGAAAAGCACAAGTAATACTTTGAAGAATAATGCTAGTTGTTTAGATGGCAGATTGCTTTGCTATGGCTATTAGTTACAGCTGTGTAATTACATATATGCAGAAGAAAAATGAAGTTGTTTTAAAACAAGTCCTCCTCTGTGAGCAGAATTAATTGATATTAACAATCCTAACTACATGCCCAAGTACACACACAATATTTTACTAACAGTTTTTTTGGGTCAGTCTTCTATTACTGAATTGTAATTTCAGAGCAAATTTGCCTGGAGGTAAGTAATAAATCTGTGTTGCAGTCTTCTTGGGCATTAGAGGAAAAGTGGGTATTTATAGAAAGAGAGAGTACAGAAACTTGTGATTTATTCCTCAGAGTTCCTCTGATGCATCACTATTTACACCACAGTCAACCATATCATAAAATATACTCAAATACATGCTTAAATTTGCTGCTAAAAACTGTTGTAAGCTGGAGGTGGCAGGCTCAGACAGAGTCATTACATGGTCATCCTAGATTTTGCAGTGCAGTGAATATTTTGCCTGGATGTTTTTGGGAACTGGGGGGACGATCCTGCTCCTTCTGAAGCTAGTGGGGAATTTGCCTTTGTCTTCGGTGTGAGGCAGACGGGGTAGGGAGCCCCAGGAAGTGTTTTAACCTGCATCAGCAGAGGACCGTCATCCAAACCCTGGGTACCACCTGTGAGCCTTCGCGGAGGCTTTTGGATCCTGTGTCATGTGGGACCCTGCCTGGCTGCGCTTGCTGTGCTGAGCCCTCTCCGGAGCCTGAGCCCCATGAACCTAGCCCATACCATGACACCCTGCGCTCACAGGCGGGGCTTTTGGGTGGGTCGACCACTGTTCCCCGCTTTGGGTGACAGTGGGAAATCGGGACTAACAGCCTACACTGCCAAAAGTGCCAGGATTTCTGTAAGAGCCCCAAAATATGTTGAAAATGCCTGCTTCATGCCTCATTTGGTGTGCAGCGGTAGTCCCCTCTGACGCCAAAATCAATGCCCCTTCTACAGAAAGGTGCCACGCACCCCTGCCTCCCGCCATACCCCACGGTGCAGCAGTGATTCAGCTGGGCCCTGCAGAGAGGCTTGTTAGAGACAAGGAGATCTTAGCGTGATCTGATATGACTGCAGGCAGCTGCTTTAGAAACATACTCTGGTATTAGCCCAAGCTTTAAACTGAAAATTTCCCTGATAGTGGCCATTTATTTTTCCATTAACATCTGTCGATTCTTCCGCTCATTTGTTTTGTGTCGCCGTTGGAATGATGAGCTGTAGTGGACCCTTGGAGCCGTTGTGGTCGGTGTAATTAAATGTAAATATGCAATTAAGCAACTTAAAAAAAAAAAAATCTGTCGGACTCCAACAGCTTCTTTGTAGATGTTAGGGTTTGTCGTGCTTTTGCAGTGTCGTGGTTTAACCCCAGCTGGCAACTAAGCACCACACAGCTGCTTGTTCACTCTGCCCCGG